ACATGTCTCTACTCGTATTGACAGGAATCACTGCATTGAGCTCCGTGAGCCCTGCTGCCCTCGGGCACAGTTACTTGTGTAGAAAGCTCCTTGCTAAATGTTTACGCTAGCCCAAACTGTTTCAGATAATTTGACTAGAACGCAAAAAGACCTTGGCAAGTGGAGGATGGACAGATACAAACATGCAGAATGTCATTCAGTAGGGATCAACGCAAGGTGCTGTGCGTAGGAGTGATCAGCTGTACAGAGGGGGTGAGTGGCTGGGCAACAGTGCATGGGAAAGGTTTCTGACACAGTGGATCAGAAACTGCAGAGAAGATAACCATGTCATCCTGAAGCTGCAAAAACACCCAGCCCACCACAAACCAAAAAAAACCCAAGACAAGCCTAGCATAAGGGGATGTGTAAATTGGGAGGATATTGTGTAATCTATTCAGTGTCTGTTCATGCTGCCTGTTACAGCTGAGACTTTGTGTGTGCTTGTGTTCAAGTACCATGTCCATGTCCTTCAAAAAATGTGTGACTAGTGGTGGGGGTGGCGGGGGGAGGGTGGTACCTGGCACTGGACTCCTGATGTGTAAAGGCCTGCTGCCAAGTAGAGTATTGTCAATTTTCACTGGAATGGAGGAAGAAGGAAAAAACTTAATAGCAAGTGAGCTTTGTGGCTGGAAAATACATTGTAAGGCTGGAGATAAGCAGGGAGTAAAATACATTGCCAAGGGAGGCAGTAGATCCCAAAGGTTTTAAGAACAATTTAGATGATGACAGAACGTCAGAAACAGCATGACCCTGTTGGTCCTACCTTGAAGCAGACAGATGGGCTTCCTATTTCTTTCACTCTAATAGAAAAGATGGGCCTCACCTGATGCTCTTCACACTGCTGGTCACATCCAACAAAACCTCCAAAATATTTAGTCAAGTGATGAAATGCCTAGACCAGCCTAATGGAGAAAATTGTAGCTGAATTCAAATAGCATCTTTGTATTTTGACAGTCTTCTGTCATAGGAACAGATTTTCAGACCCAAAACATGAACTGAGACAACACTTCATGCTTGGTTGTTATTGAGCAAAAAGAAAAAGCTGACTTTGTTTCTAGTGAGCAGTACTTGGGCTCAGGCATTCATCTGGGAATCACAGTTTCTGACCTTCACTAAGACAATAAATGCATCTTAATGGAGCATCTCTTCAATGTGTGCCAAATGCTGTTCTCGTAAGAAACATCTCTCTACATTGTGCACTTTGCAGCACACCTCTCTTCTCACATCCAGTCTGTGAATACAGAAACACGTAGGGCCGCTTGTCCTATCTCGGGGGTGTCAGCAGGGCCTGTGCTTTAAGAGCTCTGCTTACAGTCACAGCATCTGCCTGCTGTGCTGTGGAAGTCACCCAGTGCCCCCTTTCTGCAGCCCACCTACGTCTGCTTTCCCAAGGCAAACTCACTCTTGTTGCCACATTCCATTTCTGGCAGCCGCTCTACACAGGGCGGACACTCAAGGTTGAATACTAGTCCTTCCACAGACCCCGGCCACAGCTCTTTTCCTGGGTAGCCGGGAGCCATTCAGGGGCTTGACAGCAGCTCCACAAACGAGAGA